CTCTTAGGGGCTCTGAAATCACAGGCCTTGTAAAGACGCAGCCTCCCATAGACCCCATGCCCACTAAATTAAGTGTCGGCCACAGCCGTAATTAGAGCAGACCCTATGTATCTGGCTCTCTTCCCCATTCTGTCCTATTACGGAAGTAGGAGTGATATCACTGTGAAGGAGACACTGAGACTAAGGCACAGAGATCACGAGTCTCTGTTGTGGAGGAGAAGAGAAATGGGTGTCTGAAGTAAGCATGGAAGTTGCTTATCACATCCTGGAAGAATCAGTTAGATTCTGCTTTTTGAAATAAACATTTTTGGATTGATGACATGGAAAGAGCAGAATCCCTTTTTACCAAGTAGCACTTAGGTACGGGACTGGGTGCTGCCCACAAGTTAGCTGTGTCTCCTTGCTAGTGCCAGGCAGCACACTTTTCCTGCATTCACCATGACTGTAGAGGGGGACCATGTCATGCCAGGACCTTGTTCAACACTATTTTTTCTCCAGCAAGTTACAAATACTGTCTGTCTCTTGGTCATAAGAGGTCCCAGCGTGAAAGCCTGCCTCCTCACGGACAGCAGTGCAAGGGTGGGACCAGGGAATGCTATGTTAAGGAAATGGCTTTTCCTCAGGAGAAATTGAAGAGATGTCCTGCCCTGTGGTTCTTGTCAGAAGATGGTGTTATCACTTAAGATGGGCAACTGGGATCACTGGGTGGAAACTGAGAAAATGAACTCTAGAGGTCAAGTGTTGCAGGTGTTGGCAAAGCAGGGAGTTAAGAGTAATGCTTTCAGATCAGTCAGTTTGGAAGCCACAGACATGTTGCGAATAAAAATGATGCTGAGAGGAGTAGTACAGTGCAAGGTGTGGAAGAGAGCTGTGTATCTGGGAGCTGCAAGATCCCAGACAACTGGAATTAGAAGCAAGTTGCCATATATCAGGCACCAGAGAACAACTCTTGTTCATACTGTGTATTCTGCATGCAGAACTCTGCTCCTCAGTAGAGTTCTGAGGTTACTCTGAAGTCGCTTAGGTGCTCAGTGTCCAAAACCCCATGTTCATCCAGATTGTCCCTGAAGCATGACCATGTCAGCAGCCACCTGCAGGCTCTCGAGCCACATACACCCCACAGGAGTGTGCCCCAGGCCACAAAACTGGCATCTTGCAGTTTGGAGTCTTATGATTGGGACAGTGAGAGCTGCTGACAGAGCTGGAGAGTGGCAAGAGTAGGTCTCTGGGTCAGTGACCCCGGCAGAGGATTGGGCAGAAGCCTAGGCAAGGAGGCCATGACTGCAGTCACCCAGGAAGTAGAGAGACTTTAATAAAAGAGCAGTGAAATGGCTTCTAGAACTAACTGATAAGTATTCATGGTCTGCTAGAAGTGGAAAGAAGTAATGTCATTCACTTAAAAAACAAACTAGAGTGGAGGAGCAAGATTGGGGCAGGGGGTTTGAAACTAAGGAAACAAACCTGGACCATACTGAGTGTGCACTGTGTGAACTGCATGCCAAACATCAGAGCCAGTGTTGCGTGAAGCCTGACTCTGGCAGACACTTTCTATCTACTGTGTTATTTCCTCTTAAGAACCCTGTATATAGGTGCAATTAGTCCCATTTTACAGGTGAGGAAGGTGAAGTACAGTAAGATTTAACTTGCCCAAAATTTCACAGCTAGTAAAGGTGAGAGCAAGTTTGAGTCTAGGACATCTGTGCTCAGTGCCTGATCACTGAACAGCCATGCTTTGTAACTGCAAATCTGAGCCAGGAACTCAGAGCCAAGTGAGCAACACTGTACGTATGGTGTCTTCTGAGCCAGGGCATGCTTAGACTCCACAGCGAGCTCAGTGGGAGCTTTCTTGGGCACTGCAGAGGACAGCAGACTGTGTCTTCAACATCACTGCTTAAGGCCTACTGGGTGCTTTGTCCAGAAGAGCAGGGTCAGGAGGACACAGGGTGTTGTGGTTGACAGCAGATTGGGACGAGTCCCCACGGCAGGTCGCAGTGCCAACATGCTCCCCAGGGGCCCATCCCAGGCAGGGGGTATAGGTGGCACATGACAGACCTGTAGGTGATCTGAAGGGATCTGAACCTTCTCCTTGAGACAGTCCAGAAGCACTTACTAAATTTTTCACTTCCCCAGTATAGTGTGAGCAGGAAAACAGTTTTCTCACTGTTTCCCCTTCCAGAGGTGCCTAGCAGATAACATGTAGTTTTGTGTGGAGAAAGGTAAATAAGATGTAGCATTCTTGTATAGTTCACCTGTGGGGAATATACTTGTGTCAGTTAGGTCTAACCTTGACCCTGTTCCAGCTTTTTCTATAAAAATTAATAAGGCTCTTCTAGGAGAGCCTCTCACTGACTTCTCACTGGCACCTCCTGGGCTACTGATGCGGTCATGGTGCTAGGGGCCACTACTGCTGGACGCTGCCACTGTTCCTGCCACTGCCACCAGTGCTGCTGCTCTTTCTGCCTTTGCTACCAGGGCTGAGGAACTCTGGGGGAGCCCAGGGGACAGAGATTCCCAGGCTGCCCGAGGGGCCTGCCTCCACCACAGCCAGTGCAGGGCAACTGGGTTGGGCTGCTCCTGCAAGGCCAGCTGGAAAGAGAATGCTATTGCTACCTGGATCTCCTATTGCTGTGTAAATACTTGTTCTTGCTCCCCACATGTGAGCTCGTGACCTGCATTCTCATCTGCTGTCATCGGAACCCTACCCCCAGGTTCTACTACCTCAGGGTAGCTGAAGCCCTACCCCCAGGAAATAAGTGCAGTGTTTTAAAAATTCAGATAAACCCAATCAGAGAAAGTTGATGCCCTGAAGGACATTAGAGGACATCTAATTCCACACCCCCACTTTCCATATTAGGACAAAACTGCCCAAGCTATATGTATAGGCCGCTTTTGTTGAGAATGTCAAACCCTCCTTCACTTGGGAGGGTGGTGGTGCTTCTAACCCTCTTACATGACAGAGCCTCCAGGAGTGGGGGTGGGACCCATGTGTGGTCCACCAGAGTGGCTCTCCCTGCCCTTTTCCTCCTTCAGATAACTACAATTAAACTCTGCAAGTCAGCCTTTCTAAGATTGGACCTGTATGGAAGTGCAAGGGTCAGAATGAGAGAAAAACTCGGCCTGCAACTTGAAGCCTTTCAGTAAACCACTGCCCTCTTGCTGTGGCTACTCCAGCTCCAGTATCCCTGGGACTGCAGAGAAGAGATCTTGCCACAGATGCTGATGCGATGCTTCAGGATGCTAAGCCAATTGGGGCTTTGCTCGACAAAGAAATAATCAACAGTGCACATGGTCACTTCGATTTTCTGAGGCTTAGATTGCCAGGCAAAGGAAAAGCAGCTCCCTGTGTTATCTGAAATCTGTGCTCCTTAGGAGTATGCCTCCTGGACCAGTATCTCAGGTCCCACAGAACTACTGCACTTTACCAATGCTGAGTCTTGGGAGGGTGGCAAAGGGGGAGTATTACTTCCTTGCATGGCCAGACCAGGGCCATATTCTCCAGTTACTTCACCTTCCTGAAATGCAGTCAGTAAGCAAGTCAGGATGAGAAGGTTAAACAATAAGCTTTTTGTTTTACAGGAAAAATACCCAGGAGTCTTAAGAAAGGAGACAGACCTAAGTACTCACAGAATAAGGCGGTCTGGGGCTCTTGTTTGGTGACAATGGCACCCCAAAGATTCTCCAACTCTCACCTCAGATTGCCTCATATTGAACAGTAACCAGGTGACTGGGTGACTTATATTCATGATTCCAGATTATTAAGATGACAATCCATTGGGCAATGGAAATGTTAGAAAGAAAAAAATACTCGCATACAAAAGTAGCCACAAGTAAAGTAGCCATAGCAAGCGGGCAGTGGTTTACTAAAAAGTCATCTAGAAAGTGAATTTGTGTGTAGCAGTTCTACCTTCTTTCCCCACATGCTACCAGATACACAAAGGTCTCCAGTAGCTGACCTACCCCATTCCCTCCAACCTTCTTCCTGAGCCAGACTGTGTTTTGTTTGTTTGTTTTTAATAAATAATATACTAATTTATTTTTACATTATTTTGTGCCTTTTTCCATTTCAGTTGTAATCCCCTCACCAAATCACCCATGTGGCATCACCATAGTCCAAGGCATTTCCCTCCCTCCACTGTGTTTTGATCCCATTCTCCACTCTACCCCATAAAATGTCTCTGATCCAGAGACATTTTGGTAGTTCCTGTGGTTGACAAAACACACAGGAGTCAAGGAAGCGGGTTTTTTTTTTAAGTTTTTTTTTTTTTTTTTTTGGTTTTTAAAGAAACTGCATACATCATCGGAGACAATAATTTAAGTACCATGCAGTTTCTGTATGTACAAAACCTAGGCCATAGAGTTCAGGTGACTTAGTTGTCTATGTACATTGTCTTCCTCATACAGCCATCATCTAGTACATTAGAATACGGAAGGCGCTCCTCTACAAACACAAACTATGTACAGACACCCGGGAAGCGGCTGGGAAAGCAACCGGTGTAGGGAAGTAACAGACCAAGGGCAAAAAAAGTCACTGAAGGTGACCTTCACCCACTAGCTGTGCACAGGGAGAGCCGGAAATTCCATTCATCAAAGCACACATCACGATTTTCATTCGGCAAATATAAATACACGTTCAGAAGCAGGAGAAAAAATAAACTCAGAGGTTTTCATCACATCTACTGTCACGTTGTTTGGTTTCTCTAATCTGACATAAAGGCTAACGTTTTAGAAGTTTTACAAGGCTTGGAGGGCCTCTGGAGAGGGCTAGCTGAGCAAGTTTAAAGAGCAGGTGGGTGGGCGGCAGTCTCTTCCTTCAACCATTGGCATGGAGCGGTCAGGCAAAAGTCTAATTGCTAGAGGGCAACATTTCAATTTGAGAAATTTCACACCTTTCCTTTCATGCTAAACCCAATGACAGGAGGTTCAGCTGGAAATAAGCCTTTACTTGAAAACTGCAGAGAAGGGATACATTTGAATGCACCCAGTTCATTTACTTGTTATTGTTTTCCTAATTAATGTCAAATTGTCACCTTGGAAAGTCAAAAGCATTTTTCAGGTGTTATAACAATGTGGCAGAAAAAGAAATTTGGATTGATTTCTATCAACCTCAGAACGTCAAGAAGGGAGAGAGCCAGCAGAGGGCCGACTCTTGGGCCACTGAGTCAGCTGAGCCATGAAAAATGGGCTTGAAAGAACCCATCTTGAAAGTGAGCTTCTTGTGGCTAGAAGTTGCACCCCTAACTCCATGCAAGTGGCTTCTGGAGAAGGGTGCCTTGCAGGAAGACAGGTGGATACTGTTTGATTTCTTCCATGCACAAAGTGGGCTGCTAACAATAGGGCACTTCAGGCAGAAAACCTGGACTGCTGGCTGGCTGGCTGCAAGGAGGCTGAGTTGGGTGTCAAGTTCCTAGGGAATCTGAAAGCCCAGAACCAAGGCCTGCAGAGAGCCACTAGCCTTTGTGGAAGAAGCCAGGCGATGGAATGTGTTTCCTAAAGACTGAGCCAGGGTCCCAGAAGCTGCACGTAGCACAGCTGCAAGATAGAGGACGCTCAGACTCTACCCCTGGCTAGGCGGGCACCACTGCCTAGGATATAATGCCCACTGTCAGGAGGTCAAACAAAAGAAGCCTAATCTTTCATCAGACTATTTACACATTCAAATGTCAGTAAGCCTTTCAGGAATTGTTTACAGCCACACTGAAGTCCCGACCACATTTTCCCTGAACAAAACTACTCAGGGCAGTAACTATGCAGATTCAACATTCAAAGAAAAAAAGGAACCAGGGATGGTGGCCTCCTGGGGCAGGGCAGGGTGTGCTCTATGCAGGTGGTATGAGGAAAGCATAGAGCAGCTTTGCAATGGCTGCTGGGCACTGCCTGAACTGCCCTGAGCTCTCCCCAGGTATGCACAGCTCCTGAGTGATGCTGGCCACAGGAGTGAGAATGCCCACAGAAAATTAAATGGCCTCACCTGGTTTAGGTGGGGACTGTTAACACTTTTTGTGAAGGCCAAGTTGACATCTTTAAATCCTGGGCATGCGTGGGGAGCAGGCCATCACCCACAGAGGTGGCGCTCACTGAGACCACTCCAGTAGTTCAGGCAGAGCCTGGCAACTGAGAGCCTGTGAACTCCATCAGGAAGAAAAGCAGAAGGGGCAGTAATGGGCCTCATAAGGAGAGCCGTTGCCCTATCAACGAAGCACTATTTTCCTGTGGTCCCAAGTGGGAAGGACAGTTACAGAGAGATCTTCGGTCACCCTCACAGCATCAAGAGGGAGAGGAAGGACACCCACAGATAAACAGGCCTAGTGAGGTCGAGCATAGGCAAGCCTAGTGGGTGTGTGCCCATTCTGGCACAGGCTGAACTTGGGCTGTTCAGAGTAACTCCTCAGTGCAAAGAAAGGAGATGAGGAGGCCAGCCCAGTGGTTCTGGGGTACCAGAGTATCTGTGACTAGAAAGCCAGTATGATAGGGTATCTCTGGCCTCCCATACTCAGAGGTTATTCACCTCCAAGCCAAACCATCACCAGCCCTGGACCAAGGGGAGAAAAGAAGCGTCAACCGAACAATTGTTTGCCCTACTATAAACTCTCAGTAGGTCTTTCCGCTCAAGTGCATGAATTCAAATTCCCAAGAGTACCTTCGCAGTCTGTGATATTGGCTTTTTTTTTTTTTAACATGGATAGTGTAGTAAATTTGAACTGAGCAGATGACAGTGTCCTCCTTTTAAACCAGAGCTTCCAGAAAGATAGCTCATTTGGATTGAGGGGACTGGATGGTGCTCAGTGCCTGTCACAGAACCTGGAGTAAACATATTCTCAGGACCAACAGCCCACCAGAGACTACCCCAGAAAAGGCCCTTCCCTTCTGTCCACAACACAAGAAGGAAAGGTGGTCGGGGCAACTGAGAACAGTGTTCCCTCTTAGCAACCTCCTCAGGGGCCCTCAAACCAGATGACAAATCTGTAACCCATGCATCTGGCCAAGTCTAAAAGGCCAACCAGATCTTTGTATGGTCACCCCCAGGCCAAACCCAACACCTCAGCTTTCTTTGGACTCTGGTGACAAGTGCCTTCAAGAAGAAGTTCACTGGAGTCTAAATGCATGTGTTGCCTGCAAGCCTGCCCTGCAAGGCCCAGGACGCTTTGAGTGTGGGAGTCTTCAGGGAGGCGCAGCTTGGTGCCTCAGTCTTGCTCCATAGGACATGATTCATAATCAGCGGTGGTGCCAGCAGCTCTGTCCACTGAACAGTAGACAGATAGAATCCTGATTGTGTTTCCTTTAATTTCTCTTCTTCTCAAAAAAAAAAAAAAAGGCAGTTCCAAAGATTTAAATGGTAATGGGGAGGTGTGAATAAATACCAGCACTTATGGTTCTTATAAATTTATGTTTTGAAGACAGCATAGCACTCAGGAAGAACTTGACTGTTAAGGTCGGTGAAACCTAGGAAAACAAATAATTAAAACAAGATCAAAGCACTGCTACAGATGTAGAATTCAACAATCCCAGCCTTCTGTTCTCAGATTTTGTTTCTGATAGTAACAGTGAAGCTTCCATCTCTAACCAGAGACTGAAGTCCTCACAAAGTCCTCAAGTACTTAGATTCAAGCGCTATCCCTTTGCTTTGGGAGCAACTGAGCCCTGAATTCCATCCTGGATCTCACTAGATAGATCGTAGGTTCCATGTCTCAGCCTGGCCTCAGCAACTTCATGGAGAATCCAGCCAAAAATCAGAGGCCAGGCACTAGATTCTTGAATGTTCTCTTACCCTAAATGACCACCAGAGCAGAGGACTCATTGAGGATGGGTCAAAGGCTCTGTCATGAATTAGTCAGATGAACTTTCAGTCCCTCCCAGCTTCAGTGTCACCAAATACTATCACCTCAGACAGCCTGTGAGAGCCATATGGAATCACAGATATGAATCCATTGGCAGATCCCAAGTAGAACTTGGATTTTCCTCAACTTAGGCTTCTTTTGCCTGTCTGTTAATTTTGTCTTCAGCTTCAGTTTTCATGGAAAACTACTTTGTGGCAATTGGTGTTTGAGCACTTATCAAACTTATCTTAAGTTTAAATTAAAAACTAGTCTTTCAGCAGGGCATGCAAACTTAGTAGGCCAGTAAATTTCCTTCCCCAAATTTTAGTGGCCACAGTGAAACAAATTTCAAGTTAGTCTTGTTCCCTCCACACTGCTTATGATCCAGAAATTTATAGGATCATTTAGTTTGCAAATACTACAACTTGAGGTGGGGAAAGGGAAAATAAAATATCAATACCGACCTTGTTAAATGTCTACTCAATTCGTGAACTTCCATTTCAGTGCTTTTAAATTCATTGAGTTCCTTTCGAATGGCAGCCTGAAAAGGAAAGAAGCTCATGAACATAAAGAGGAAGCAGAAAGGAAGGAGTTGACATGTTCTTTTATATCTTAATAATATACATTTTCTTCAGCAATATCAGATTTTTGGATCTATATGGATTCTTTCACTGGAAGGAAAAAAACAGTCCTTTGAGCTATATCCTTTGAACCTACAAAAAATCCTCTTTTCCCCTAGATCAAAATTATCTAAAATGTAAATGATTCTATTTGGATACATCCCAGATTCTCTTGTCTATTCCATCTGAGCACAGATAGCCAGGGCCACCTGCCTCACACACCTGGGGTCCCAAGAAAGCATTAAAAAACCAAACTCTCATCTCACTCAGGTCAGCAGTCTAACCCCATCACAGACAGTGATGACTCAGAATGGATTCTAGAGAGATGGGGCAAATCCCCCAACAAAATTAAGGAAATAGGCAATGGTCAAGCTCCCCCTTTTTTCTTTGATTTATACATTCTTCACTCTTGCAAGTTTATCAACTCAGTGATCAATAGTATGCTCTGAATAACTGCAAATATTCATAGCCTGAATAACCTCATTTTCCCAGCATTGGGCCTGGATGGGGCTAAGGTGGGCAGGGTGGGGGAGGTTGGAGTTTGGCTGTGTAATCTGATTACAAAGGGAGGTTAAGTGGCTTGACATGGAAGAGTGTCATGGGTTGGAGACAATCTCCCTTCTTTAGAGGTTGAAATTTTAAAATGTGTCCTTTTGCACAGTTTTTATAACATGTGCTTGATGGGAATTTTAAGGCACTGGATCTGAGCAGCCCCATACCCCCATTGAAGCAAAGTGCACTGGGGTTTAAATGCCTGGTCTCAGCTTCAGGGAACTGCTTCCTGTTCTGTCCCACAGCTACTCAAAACTCAGGCTTGCTTGTGGAGACAGCCTGTGCTCTCGCGCACATTTGCAGATGATTGGGAACTAGTAACCTCAGTGAAAGTGTAAGCAAAGAAGAACAAGGGTCAGGCCCCAAGCAAAGAAGAACAAGGGCCAGGCCCCTTTCTTGGTTGAGTTTAGAGGAAACAGCTGCCTGGGGCACTGGTGGGTCTTTCCTTGCTGTGTAAGGGTGGGTTCCTGGGGTTGCTCACTACCAGTTCCTGTGTAGGGAAAAGAGAAGTGCTGTGTTGAAGAGGGCAGACTTGTTCATTCATTGGGATCTGCACTGTTGCCCCAACATGCAGAGGCATTTCTGGGAGCTCTATCTACTCTGATCACATTAGTCCTGTCCACCCTCATGTTTGCCACCACTCCTGTATGCAAGCAGAGTCTGGGCTGTCCATGACCTTTTTTTGGACCAAGTGAAAGTGTAGGAAGCTACTGGCTCTGGGGAGGGGTGGGGCAAAGTTGGCCCCAGGGTCTCCCCATTGGCATTTGCACATTGGACATACTCATTATTATGTATATATATGTATACATATACATATACACAAATGTATACATATACACACACATGTATATATATATATATGTAAAATGGCAATTATTTTCCCAGGCCCTCATGGTGACTAGACTGGAATCATAAAGGATTGGCAAGCAGAGGTTCATTTAGATACATGGTAGAAAAGATGGATATGATTTTTTTTTTTTATCATTTGTATCATTGCTTTTCTTACAAAACAAATGCAACTTCAGAGTACTATTATTCTTCCCAAATCAATGATGTGGTTCAGCATAAGAAGCAATGATTTATAGTCCCTATGATTTGTGTCCTGTTTCTCCCATCAGGACTACAAGAGCCACACACAGTGATTTTGTTTGCTTTGGCTTTACAGATCCCACCTGGGTTTAAGGACAAGCCTTTATGCAGAGGGATCTGTGGCAGGCATAGGGCTTGGGGCTAGAAATGCAGGTGCCTGATGAGAGCTATTCTGTTTCTCTGGGCTAGGCACACCTTGCTGCTTTCTTCCTCTTGTAAAACAGGCAAGAACTTTGTCTGTCTTGTGCCTTCTCTGTAGTAGTGAAGGGTGAGTTCAGTCCTGCCTGAGGATCATCTGGAGACTTGTGGAAAGGTGTTAGGGAACAGCATTCCCAGACTGCTCAGGGGCACCTGGCAGCCCATTATTGAGACTGCACCATGGCTTTGCTGCTGGTCTCAGTACAGGCTTGCCAGCCACAAGAAATGACATACAGGGTAGGATAGAGCCTGCAGACCCACTCCCCCTCCTCAGCTCTCGCTCACTTTGTCAGCAGCAGTGAGGCGGGTCCACGGTTTGTCAGCCCTGCGGTCGTAGTCCTGAGCGTCGGCCACCTCCACATAGTCGCTAAAACGGATAAGGATCTTCCTTTCCCGAAGTTCTTCCACTGTGGGTCTCTGGCTGAGCTTTAAGGAGGGAAAGTGAAGGGCCCAGTCAATCAGAGATCACAACCCTAGAATTGTAGCTATAGAATGAGGTCTAGAGGAGTATCACACCCACAGTACAGGGCAATGCTGAGGGAACCCGGGACTCCTGATGGCTAGACCTGCAACTCTTCCAGGACTCTCAGAGATCTAACACCAGTTGCCCTTGAGCCACATCTAGGCCTGTCAAGAGAGACAGCCAACCTGTCTTAATAACATTGCACGCTTAATCTCTACAAGCAGTTTTATCTCTGGTGGTTGCCTGTTGTGCTTTTCCCACATCTGTCCTACCTCTCCTATCAGGGGGCAGGAGGTTTTTACACTGATTCCACCTTATTTTGGATTTGTGACTGCACAATGGTATGGACTCATGTGTCAAATTTAATGTTTTTTGCAAGATGGATTGGCTACACTTATGTATGTTGTGTGTATATGTATGTCTTAGAAACACAAGAAATGCTAAATGCAAAACAGTCCACAAATTCAGGAATATGCAGGAATGGGGAAAACATTGATTTATGAAATCAGAGGATCCTGATCCACAAGAAGTTCAAATGAGGTCAGTCCACAAATGTAGCACTAGGTTGAGTATATGCTAGGAAGACTTGGGGAAGGCCCTTGGGATGGGTTTATGATAAAGAATGAAATCAGCAAAAGGAGATTCTATTTACCTTGGGGCTTCATAGCACCTTACCTTTATATTTTAACAACATAAGGCTGACATTTCAATTATTCCTGTCAGTAGGTTTATTTCTTCTGGAGCAACACAGATGCTATTTAAAATGTTGTCAGTTCATACTTAACTGATATTATTTAAGAGCATATTTTCCTCCAAGCCCTAGCCCTAGACTGTATTTAATTCTGGTAATAGAAAATGCAATCAGATAGACTCTTCTCACAGAGGTCTATAACACAAACATATACAAGTGAATTCAAAACACCCTGGCTGTTTTGATCCTTATCATACATCTGCCGTGTACCTTTGGCTGGTGCCAGCATATTCCAACTTGCTGCCACCTGGCCTAACAAGGAAGAGCAGATTCTGATGACAACCTGTGTGGCATTAAATCTTTGGGTGATGAGTACTGATAGGCTCTGCACATGACTGAGGCAAGCAGCTTGAAATCCCTCTTGGCCAATGGTGGGAACATCTGGGGACTGATCCAGTGGCCTTAATTGCATATTGTTCCCACTCAGAATGGCTCCAGTGTGATTGGAGATGGTTCTGCTTTTCTGCAGACCTCCTTTTCCCAGGTGTCCTATTACAGGACAACAACAGATCTCCCAAGCTCCATGGCTAGGAATGCTTGACTAAAAATGGCAACCACCATGACTTCAAAATATGTTCATCAAAATGTGCATAGAAGGAGCTTCTGCACTATTATTAAACTATATCCTCATATTTAATATATGCCACATTTAGCTCCCAGATAGGAACTTCTACTCAAAATCCAGTTTGTAGGTCCTTGCACTAGCCAGGTTTACCCTGGGGTGTTGGGCACATAGTTTTATTTCTGAGTGTGCCAGCACATGAGAGAAGTGTTGCTTCAATCTATGGCATCAACAACATCATTTTCAAATGAAACACTACAAAGAAAGGAAATTAAACTCAAATATTACTATTAATACAAGCTGACCTGAGTGTCTTTCTCCTACTGTCCTTCTCCCCCTCCCCACTCATTGCCCATTTATATAGCTAGCATTTATTTAAATGACAATTCTCTTCTATCAGCGTCAGTTACTGTGCCTTCTGTATTGAGAAATTCTGGGGCTGAGGTAAGTAACTGAAAAGCAGCCACATCACTGGCATCTGGTCTTGGTGTGATAAAGGTTCTTAAGGAAAACAACTTACCTGGAGCCAGGAGCTGATATGCACTCCCTACCTGCTGGCAGGCTCAACCTCTCAAGCCACTTCCATTTCAATCCAGATGCAAAAGCTGCCCCATCTGTCCCTTTACATTATCCCTTCACTCAAGCTCATTATTTTTAATTCCCCAAGCCAGTCCCAGTGGAGGATAAATGCTGAAATTAAATGACAAATTTCCTGGGGGAAAAGAAGTAGTAGGGGAGGAGAGGAAGCATTTTTCTTATCTTGGAAAAGTGAAAAAAAAAAAAAAAAAGACAATGCCCTCAAGTGGCAGATCTCCTGAATGTTACCCATTCAGGATATAGGATTAAATGCATGTCTAAATATTTCCCTATTACTGTGGGAACTTGGATTATTCTGTGTCTCAGCTAGTCTGTGTCTTTGCCTTGATTGTTGGGTGTGCTGATTATTCTGTGCTTTCACCCAGAATATGAAAAGGAAAAATTTGATATAAGGAAACACTCAGTACAAAAGTCCTGGCATGAAGATCTATGTATGCTGAAAACGTTACACTTAGAGTAACAAAAACACAGAGGATCCCTTGACACGCTCCCTCATTTCCCAGCCTTGGCTGGGTCCAGCTGGTGACATGTCCACCACATGCATTCCCCATTTGCCTACTTGGTTATTTTATTATTATTATTGTTTTTTAAATCTTCTACATGAATCAAGACTGCCCATGGAGCTGGGTTGTACCTTCCTGCTATAGTCCCTGTAGGCTTCTCAATGCTCTGCAGATGGACTCAGCACCACATATATAATGATACATATTACTAGTTTCTGGTAAGATACTCTAAAATTTAGGGGAATATTTTGGGCCCAGAAATCAATTCCAGTGAGCTTTATGGAAATCGGATTTGACTTTTTTTTTTCCTCTGAATGTCTAGACCTTCCTGTATCAGAATTGAGGCTTGATGGTCAGGTTCTATTTGATGTCCTTGTAACTTCAAGGACACACTTAGAACCAGCTAACACATCTCCCCATGTCTCTTTTACTACCGGGTCTCAGGAAAGAGTGGGTTCTGCATCCAAACACTGGTTGGGCTTAAGCCTAGAAGAGTCAGACATCAACCAAGGGCAGGCTTTCATTAAAAACTACTTCTTGTTCTAGTCTCCCCATCAATGGACACCAGCTGTACTGACCTTCAGGGACTCCTTTACCCTATGCTTGTCATTGGGATGCTATTTGGCTTGTCTAGCTGTTTAGGATGCTCTTAAGGGAGAGAAAGTGTTAGGAATACACATAGCTTAGTAATTGGTATGTTTTTAGGATCTTTGGAATTTTTTTTTTTGCACAATATTTTAAGGGAGAAAATACATTAATAAACCTTTTGAAAATAATTTTAATGGATGTCTTAACTGTCTCTGAGATGAGTATTGTTCTCTCAAGATGGTCACAGAAAGAGGCTGAAAACCACTCTAGTCCCACAGAGGTAGTATTATCTCTCATGTGTCATCAGTTAATTAAACTTCTCAACATCATCCAAGAATAGCTCCAAAAATTTTATCCATTAAGAAGACCACTCATAAATAACTAGATCCACTTGGACCTATAATGCATTGCTAGGTCCAAGATTGGGGGTGTTTAATATATCTATAAACATTTTAGCTGTAAGACAGCAATGTGCTTTTCAAACACTGTCATTAAATTTATCAGTACTTCTGGACCTTTCCTTAATTCATTCATTCAAATTGGACTTAACATAATAAAGTCAAGCGGTTCTTTTAAGTTAATGGATAAGAAATAGTATGGAGGAGACAAAGCTTATGCTTTTCTAGCATAATAACCATTATTTTTGATCTACTGATTTGGATTAATGAGTTTCCAATTGTTTGATGGAGTGATAGTGAATTTTTAAATACAAAATAATCAATGTAAGTGAAAATATATAATGACATGAAATCAAGTTGCTTGGGGCATAGGTAGGTGTCACAAAATCAAGCAACAAAGACCAGCCAAAAGAATGGAGGGATCTGAAGCTGGGTTGATCACTATTCCCTGAAGAGGTCCTGCAAAGTCTGGAAGGGCCCAAGCCTGGACACCTGAGGAGGGCATGTCCTGAGGCTACCAGAGAGCTCCGGGTGAGGCTCACCCACCTCCCTACCCAGGCCCTATCCGTGGAGTACTGGCTTACCTTTCGAGTTAGTCTCCTCTTGATTTCTCTTTTCTCCTCCTGTTCTTCTTGTTCATTCCGAGCTGAAAGAAACATTTGAGATGCTTCTTAAATGCTGGTCAAAAGTGTTGTGTACAAGTACAGCCTCTGAACCTTTGAAGACTGGTGCAGGAATCTCAGATGGGGAGAGTGAGCTCCTGTCCCTTCTCTGGCTGCCCTTGTGCCAGACTGCCTAACCTGTTTCAACTGAGCAGGTTGACCTTTTTGTCTGCCATTGTCACATGGGGTTTCGAGTCTCCAGGCAAGCATAATGGGCACAGAAGGTAGGTTCACAGAACAAGCAGATAGGTTCTATAAGAGTGGGTGATGTACCATTAGCAGTGACTCAGGCATCTGGGTGAAGTGACAAGACTTAGGCCTCACAGTGACTGAAACAAGCTCATTGTGACATGTGCTGTGGGATGGAACAGAAAACAGGCCCGAGGGAGTGCCTGGTACCTACTGCAGAAAAGGAAGAGCTAACTAAGGACAACTACAAGGTTGGCTACCTGAAGAGGAAGTTTAAAATGCTCACCTTTTGCAAGCCCTGTTTCCATTAATTCTTTGAATCTTCCAAGAAGTCCATTGAGTATGTGTGAGGCCAGAGTCTGAGAAACAACTGCCTGCATTTGGACTTTTAAGGAGCATCTAAGGAGAGTAGACTGTAGAGGCTAAATGTTCTCAATGTGACATGTGAGGTGTTTTATTCATCAGATGTCTAAGGAACTACAGGGAAGAGGGTTGGAGAAATGTAACAGGTATTTGTGAGGCAGAGAATTGGGCAGACTCTTTCTTAACTTAAATGAATGAACTTGGGAACATCACTTTCCCTGTAGCCCTGGGCATAGGAGCTTGGGTATAAGCATACTATCTGACTCATAGTAAATCATGACAGACAACCTTTGTCAAAGGAGGCCTTTGATTCTCAACTGCTAGATTTAGAATGGGTAAAAGGAGTCTGTTTCAATCTGACCTTGGTACCTGGTGAATTAAGAGACCCTGGGTATTTATTTTTCTCATTTTTTAAATCACTGTGGTTAAATTAGGTTTCAATAGCCTAATTAACATATGGTGTTAGTGCACATTTGCTTCTGAGTTATCTTGGTTTAGGAGGATATAGCCCTTTGCATAAAAGTGGACTTTCCTTTGCCAGTCCTATTGCAGCAACCATAATTATACAGCAAACTCACTTGGAAGGTGTCAACACCTTCCACTCCAGGAACAATGGCAATTTACAGTAGAACTTAAGCCCATCAGCAACACCCCCAGGAGCACAATCTGGCCACTAGGACTGCCTGTGGGGAGCAGGATTTGTGTGGGGCAGCACAAGAAATGCCCACACCTGCAGTGGGTCAAGATCACCATCATTCCACACCAAGCCCCACAAGAGTGCACTTTCCTTTGGATTTAAAGATCTTATTTCTTTCTCAGAATTTTCTTTAAAAAATGCCAATTTTGCTTGAGTAAAATCTTATTAGTCAGCCATTGCTACTTTAGTGTGAATTAATCCACTAGACATAAATAGGAGGTAGACCACTGGATTCAGAGGAAGGGAAACCCCTCATAACTACGTGAGGGAAGATGGAAGAAAGTCCAATGGTGATAGCCCAGCAGGCATCTAGGGGCCTTGGATTAACAGGGTCACAGATTAGGGCCATGAGGGGTCAGAGGTGTGAAAGTCCAAGGGAATTAAGTGACTGATCACACAGACTGATCACACACAACTAATAAGTTATTTTTCCTTGTTAGAACTTGCTACCTCTTTCCCCTGTTGAATTTGGTGTCAGCCCCCCCTCATTACCAATTACAGGCTTCAGACTCTAGTAGGGGCCTCCTCAGCCTCTTCCAACCCGTCATGATTGGCTTTCTAGGACAGAACATGGAGCCTCGTGCATCTCTTGGGTCCCTCTGAGGTGCGGGGCCATAAGAGACAGAATCTATACCTTTAGTTCAAAGCCATTGACAAACCGTGGGTTTCTCAGGCAGAGGGTACCAGGAAAACCCCATTAGGCAACTGGGAAGACAGGCCAGCAGGACCTACAACATCAGTAGCTGCTGCACTGTCAGAGTGCACTTATTATGTGCTCATGTGCTGCTCTGGCGCTGGGCAGGCTGGGACAGGCAGTCAGGCCCAGACTCCAAACTCACAACTGGCTGCGCCCCCTCTCCAGCACTCCCAGAGAGATGATTCCTCAAATGATCTCGCCTGGAAATGAGTTCTAGAACAAATTCTTTGAGGGTGTTTCTTATACCCCTCATCCTGTCTTGTTTAAAAATATGAATAAATAAAAAACGAAGAAAAATGTATTTAGGAAAACAAAGTTCCAGGATGCAGGGATAAAATAAGAACCAATGGAAAAATTAAGTTCATTTCCACAAAGTTTGTAACCAGAAATAACAAGTTGTTAGATTCTGGCCAACCATTTCTTCATCCTGCAGTTTTAGAGCAGGACAAGAAGGAAGGGAGCAGGATTAATGGCAGCATGAGATCCATTTCAAAAGCTTCTTTCCTCTCTAGAATCCTAGTCTCCAGACTTGCCAAACACAAGTAACTATCCCGGAGATTAGAGTTTCTTGCTGGATGGCAATAAAAACCGAGCACCCAGACGATTCCACTAGCCTCGCAGGGCTCTGTGGAAGTCAGAAGAGGCAGTCTGGCCTTCAGGAAGGCAGAGGTGAGCTGGGGAGTAGAGGTGTTTTCTTTCCCAAACCCTTGTTGAGAGCATTATTTTCGAAACCTGAAAGAACCCCAAGATTTTTAGCTTCAGTTTGGAAGTCAGGTAGAAGATCACAATTATGGCCTAACAAATAAATTGTAGAGTCCTACAGAGGACAACAGATCCATTTAGGGAAGTGCATGGGGGTGAAGAAGGACAAGGAGAAACATACTTCCCAATTTTTGATTTTAGAAATTGACAGCTTTCTGCTTTTTTTTTTTTTTTTTCCTCCAACGATGGAAAGTGTGTAATGGATGAGGTATCTATCAGATTGGGACAGGAAGGGAGACATCATAGAGGCCTGTTTCTCTGAACACAGAAATCATCTGAAAAGTTCTAAATTCTGTATGGTATAGTATATTAAACAGTACAAATAAAGGCATATTTAACTTATATGAAGTTACCAAAAAGAATATGAAGTTTACAAATAAAAGGGCACTTTTTGGTTAGCAAAAAACAGATACACAAGTTCAGAGAGACCTAGGAGATAGGTGAGACTGGCTAAGGCCAATCCCGAAAATACTAGCCCCTGAGTTGGGCTGGGCTGGAGCAGGGACCCTGGATGCAGATGTGGGCAAACACTAGGTAGGAGCTGCCTTCCCCACCTCTCTCCCAGCAAACCATCAGTGTTGGCCAAGTCAAGAATCCGAGGAGGGATGTAGACAAGTTAGTTCAGAGTAAGTGGAAGTACCCAGTCGCTTGTTCACACACGTGAGGCTTCCTGTGACGAGAACATGTGTGCATGTGTGTGAATGTGCATATGCCTTCTTATAAGTATCCCTATGAACCTCTGCAGAGAATACATCTCTCATTTCTGGAGAGAAATTAGAAGGGGATATGTACACATGTGGGGAAAGAGTTGGGAATTAAGCTCAAAATATTTGTTGAGCATCTTAAAGAAAGTGTTAGTGAGAGCAGTAGTAGTGAACAGAAAGGTGCTGTCTTTTAATTACTTAATACCTCCCACTAACTTGAGGTACACGGGTGTCCATGAGATAGATACTTGATTTCTGTGTGTATACATATTTATGTGTGTATTCATATGTAAACACCAAGTTGACTTATCTATTTCAATATTTATACCCTGCATCTCTGTGTCATTTGTTTTTTCCGCCCTGGCCACATTGACACAAGATTTCCTAGAATGAGAGCATTAGGCAGTCATATCTCAGGCCAGGGCTGAAGGCCTGAGATGAGTGTGAAGCATTTCATTTGGAAATGCTCTCTTATACTTTAATGTTCAGAGGAAGGGGGAACTTCATCAACAGCAGCCTGCTGCAATAACGAGTCATGTGTTCTGGTTCATGCTACAAACTATCATTTCCCTTACTTTAGCCATTAATATTTAAATTTTAGGTCAATTATGGTCTGAAGATAAACTTAATTTTCCTCAAAATCATTTTATATGATGTTCTCTCATTCTAGTTTTTCAGCTTTTTCAACTCAGTAAAGAGAAGGTCTCTGCAGCCTGTGAGCTTCCAGTGAGCCAAGCAGATCAGACCCCGACTTCTCCATGGGAAGGTTAGCACAAATCTCACACAGCGATAAAGCTTCAATACCAGAGAGGTTCACAATCATATCCACATATTTCCTCCCAGGCACAGAGAGAAACCCTGTGGCCTACAATTAAATAACAACCAAAGCACCACAAAACACCACTGGCTCCGTCACTTACGTTTCAAAATGTTCCTCTGCTCCAATTCCTCTGCAGTTGGCCTCTGGCTCAGTCGCCTGCGGAAAAGATCCAGGAAAAGTTTTTGGACCATTTCATACCCTGTGGGGGTCATTAATTTCCCTGGTCCTTGTGGAGACATGAGGCCGAGTTAGGGGCTGCAGTGCTTGCTCCATCCTGTGCTTTGAAAGACTGACTCTCACAACCACTGCCTCCTCAGTTCCTCAATTTCAACCCCAGGAAGAGCACTGAGCAGCGAGTCACGCAAGCTGACCCTCTGACTTCCTCCCTCTGCTGGCCCCTCCCAAGCCCTGCTCCTCCGGTGCCTCCAGGCAAGTGGACAGAAATGTAGTTAGGAATCTTCCCCTCACAGAGGTCTCTTTCTTTCCTGTGGACTGTGGCCTCTGTCTTTCCCTCCTGACCCTGTGGCTAGAGGTTGCAGACCCAGTTGGTGCAGACCCAGTCAGAACTAAAGAAGTGCATGGCCCTGGGGCACATGAGAGAGGTGTCTTGTCCACAGAGAACAATAGCTGCTCTTCTTCTCGTCCCCACCCATCACCACTAGGACCTCACTAGACATGGAATGACAAATGAATGGGAACAGAAGTGACACCCCTGTCACTGGGCACATAATTCAGCCATAACAGGGTATAAAATTGAGATAATGCAACAGTGGAGAGGGCAGGGTGGGCACCTCACTGTGGTAGAGAATGAGAAGGCATCAAAGAACAGCCTCCTAGAGTCACAGAAATGATCGGCTTAACACAATGGCCTCAGCCCTCACAAAGACGTTTGACATTCTTAAAAATCAATGAAGAACCCTGCAATTATTCAGCATTCTGTTTCAGCAACTGGGATGAGGTGTGTGAGGTGGGAAAATTGGGGAAGGCATTATAGGCTTCTCAAATCCTCTGTAGGGATCTAAGTAGAAAAGTCTGCTTTTTTAATATTAAATTTATAGTCCCTCCCCACATGTCTGTATCATGAAATCTAAAGAGAGAACCTAGAAAAACATAGAAATCCATGGAGTTGCCAAGTGTAAATATTTCAAGTGAATGTCATTTGTGTTTCTCTTTATTGCCCCAGTATCATTACCTTACATGCTATAGACAGAGGAAGGATTTTTTTTTTTTAGATTTATTTATCTATGGATACAAAACTGAGTTACAGGCCAGAAGTGCAGGGGTGGTAAGAGGATTCACCCAAGACAGAGTGGAGAGCAGAACAGGCAGATCAACAAAGTACACTGCTGAGGGAAGCTAGCTGGAAAGACAGGAGAGATCTGCTGTGCTATGTGGGTCAGCTCCCTGTGTTGCGGTTTAACCCATTGTGCCACCAGGGAGGGCCCAAGAAGAAGGATTTTTGGTCAGTCACATCTCTTCTGGAAAATCTATGGCACCCTGGAAATTGTGGAAATTGTATCCTAAAGTTTCTTAAGTTTATAAGAACATTTCACATTTAATTGTCATATCCATTGTCCTCTTGAAACCTGTCATTAAGGCATGATTCACAAGGGACAGCTAGCATTTGGAAATGCACAATACTGGAAGTGGAGTTGGCAATTTTTTATCCTCTCTAAAACAGCATTCTTACAGTATCGGAGGAAGCTCAAAGTCACATGAAGGAGCAAACTTGTATCTCTGGTCTGGAACGCAGCTACTTACTCCACTTGGAAGCTGTTTCTTAGAGGCTCTGCCTCAACTATTTATTTCCCCAAAGAATACTTGTTTCCATTATAGGCCAGCCCCCCACGTGGGACCATCTAGTAAAACTTGGATGTTAAATGAAGTTAGGGCTTTGGAGGGCACTGAAGTTTGGGCACTGAACAAGCCCTCCAGGTACAAGGGAACTTGTACCTCAGAAGCAGGGCCAGAGTTTGGAGTCTCGAGTCCAGAAGTGTCTGTAGAATGTTTAGTCACTGGCTGGTGCCTAGTTGCCCTCGATTCCCACACCAGCTGGCCTTTATGTCATTTGCTGTATGGGTCATGTTTGGAGAGGACACAACAATGTGCAAAATATAAGCAGAGAAAATTCTGTTACTAACCACTTGGCAGCCTTATGTTCAAAAAGGTCAAATGCTCTGTTTGTTTTATTTCTCTAGAAAGGGGCTGAGAACACCAAGAATAATAACAGTGGTAAAATGTAGCTGTCACACTCTCTCAGGAAGGAGATGCACTATAATTATTTGATTTTGAAAATGAAACTAGGTAGGAAATTGGCATGAAGACATCATAATAATAGGGCACTGGAGCGAGGGTGCCTGGGGAACCTGGGCTCTAGCTACACTCTACTCTGGACCTACTTACCTTGTGTGGGTATTTCTTTTCTCTGCAAATAAGAACCAGTCATTTAATAAACTAATGATTTAATATGCAGGTATGGGTCTTTCTTGTGTGCTAATTCATTCACTCACAGCAACTCTTACATGTAGCACCACCATCATTTCTGTTGTATAAACAGGCACAGTAAGTGGTATGTTTTAGCCCAGGTTACCCATCTCACTAGTGATAGAGACAAGACCTGAACCTAGACTGTCAGTCTCTCTAGTAAGAATACATTTTTGTAAATTGAGAACTTTATTCATATATTTAATTTTAAATATTTATTTATTTATGCATACAAGGACTGCAGTAAAAGCCAGAGGTGTGGGGGCTAAGAGGATTCATCAGAGACAGAAGGGGGAGAGAGACCTACTGAAATGCACTGCTGAGGGGAGCAGTGGGCGAGACAGTTCAGCTCACTGGCAGGGGAATTGAACTCATGCTACAGTGGCTGAGGATAGCTTCATATAGTGCTGTGCTTTATTCCCTTGTGCCACCAGGGATGGTCCTAGTCAGAATACACTTAACCAGTCCACATCACCATAAAATAGTTTAAAACAATAGAAACTTATTAGCTTACAGTTCTGGAAGTCAGAAGACTGAAATATATATATAGCAGAAGGCTGAACTCAAGGTACCAACACAACATTCTTTCTAGAAGGAGAGAAGAATCTATTCCCTTGACTTTTTCCACATCTAGAGGCTCCCTGCCTTTCTGGTCCCTTTCTACCTCTTCAAAGCCTGACGTGCAGCAACTGCCAATCTCTCTCTGCCTTGAACCTCTTGTCTCCCCCGTACGAGAAAGCCTATGATCACATAGGGCCCACCTAAAATAATACAGGATAATCTCCTCCTCTCAAGATCCTTAAGTTAATGGCAGCTGCAAAGTACTTTTTACCAGGAAAGGTTACATGTCTTGAGTTTTGGGGATTAACATATGGACCTCTAGTCAGAGAGTGCAAACTGATGGATGGATTTGACTCTACAGGTTTTCCATAACATGCCCAGGGATTACAGACTTTTTCTACCTGTCTTTATAAGGGTGTGATGGCTCCATTTTGCCACTTCCTTGGGTGTTACACATGAGCCCAGTGAGATGTCTTCCTTTCTTTCTTTCTTTCTAATCACTCCTAGTTTCTATGGGCTTCTGAGTTTGAGACCCCTGGATGAGCTCATCAAGCCCTAAGAATCTTTCCCACCAATCTACCACATAGATACAGAGTCCCATTGTGGGTATTTGTGGAGGCATGCATTAAAATGTATTGTTGGGCCCTCCCTGGTGGTACAGCGGGTTAAAGCACAGCATTAAGAAGCTAAAACCACTTCCGCATTTTAAGGTTTATCTTGTGCAGAAGTTCTGGTTAATAGATCACTGACCAGCAGAACACAGAGCCTATATTCAAAAAGCAGTCAATTTTATAAATAATTCTAAGGAACTGATAGCTCCAAGTAGAGATGACTTCTGAATGCACAGTAGCTCTACCCTGCAGTAGCTTTTACCAGTAAAGTAATTGTGTCTGGCTCTCCCTGGTGGCACAAGTTAAAGCTCAGCACTATGAGGCTGTCTGTAGCCACTGCAGCACGGGTTCAATGCCCCATGGTCCAGCAGACCTCTTCTGTCTCCTGAAGTGGTAGCAGTTGTGAAGGGCTAAATGAGGTAGAAGGCCTCTCAGGGTCCTGCCAAGAAAGGTGGGCAGGGATCCACGGACAGAGGCCCAACCTTCTTCAATGGGAAGAGGGTCAGCTCTTGGCTGTGGCAGGAGGGAGGGAAGGGTCAAGTGTGTTGGGGGTCAATTTTCTTTAAAAAAAAAATTAGCAAATGCATCTGATTCAGACTAACATTAAATTAATTTTTTTTTTCCATTTATATGCTAGATGACAAGGGAAACCTCTCAGAAGTTTAACCTTTTATTTGAAATAAATATCCAAAGTAAGATTTTCTTTTTTTTTTAAAGATTTATTTACTTATGCATACAGAATTGGGGTACAGGCCAGGGGTGCAGGAGCAATGAGAGGATTCACCAGAGGCAGAGTAGATTGCGAAGTATACTACTGAAAGGAGCAGTGGGTGGGTCAGGAGAGGTCTGCTGTGCCATGTGGGTCAGCTCCCTGGCAGAGCTGTTGCCAGTTTCATGGGACTTACACCACCAGGGAGGGTTCCAAAGTAAGATCACTTTTCAAGTGATCTACTTGGATAACTTTGCTATTATATATTTATATATTTACGTACTATATATTTATATATTTGTTTCCATGCTTCAAATTATTTCTTCTTCATCATGGACCAGAACTAAATTATTTCCACTTACTGTGAACTGAAAACTCAAATTCCCTGTTTAAATGCCTTCTGTCTTCTGTCACAATCTATGAACCTCATATTCTCTTTCAAAACATAAGAATTGATCTTTTTTTTTTTTTTAAATCTGTCTGAGCTACTCTATATTAGTGACCATAACAAGTAATCAGGTAAACAAATGCAAGAGAAGAACGAAATAAACCAAAAAAAAAAAAAAAAAAAGCACTCCAATGTTGGCATTAGAGAAAGAAAGGTACTCTAGAGAAGGAAGTGGAAATGGTTTAAGTATATGCAAGGCAAGGAGCATTGTTTTGTTCATTACATCATCTCTGCAGAGAAGTGACAAAACCTTGTAGGCTTTGCTGGTTTGACACATGGATGCAACAAAGACTGGTCCTTCTGCATAGAGCTATTGAGTCTCTGCAGGCTGCAGAAAAGCAAG